GATATTGGGGAAGTTTTCTGTCAGCATGAACTGCCAACCTTTTGGTTTGCAGCCAAGGGCTTTAACCACTGCACCACCAGGGCTTCTACTCCATGGAAAGAGTGATGGAAATTCCTAGATTGTTTGTTCCCCTCTACCTCAGACTCCCTGCTCCCCTGTCCTTCGGGCCTTGCCCCCCTTCCCCCACCCCTTTATGGTCCCAGGTGTGTGTTGTCTGATGCCCAGGCCAGTAGGAGAAAACTGCTGGTTGTGGCCAGAATGGGACTGAGGCTCTGAAGCCCCCTTCCTTCTCTAGCCTCAGGATGGTGAGATGATCCCCTTCAGCTTCAACAACCAGACCAAGCACTGCCTGCGGCGGCTGGGGAGACACTACTGCTTCCAGATCCAGGACCTGCGGCCTGAAGATGCAGGCATTTACCACGTCAGGGTGGAGGTTGCTGAAGTCTTCTCCACAGAGCTGGAGGCCAGCAGTGAGTGGTCTTCGTTGTGCAAGTGGGGAGTGGGGCCCATGTCAGGGCTGTGTTCCAGGGGAGATAAATGTGGTATGGCCCCCATCTTAAGGCCAGCTTGGGAGAGGGATGCACATCCAGATAGCTTAGCTAAGAGCTTTGTCTTCCAAAAGCCTTGATCCAAGGTCTGTCTCCTCTTGGTGCTGAGCTGGGCTCTGTTGAGTTACAGTCACAGACATGGAGCGTATCTGTCACGCTCCTGCTCATAGACCTTCTGTAGCTCCCAATTTTTTTCAGATCAGATCCAGACTAATTTCATAGCTTCAAGCTGTAACCTCACTCCTTTCTGATGCACCATCCTCATCTCCCACAGCTCCCTAGCAAGAGTCAGAATCTGGGTTAGGCACACTTTGCCCTATACAGACCTCCTCCTTCCCTGCAGCCCATGTTCCCTCCCCACCTGGAAACTGCCCCTTCCTCCCTGGTCAAACCCCGCCCCTTGCTCATGAGGACCTGTGTACACATGACCCTCAAGCCACTGGACAGCTTGAGAGGCCTGTCGGAAGGGAAGGAGAGGCCTGTGTAAAGGAAGCGTTGGGCACACATCTGATAAAGGACACGGCTGAATCAAGGTTGAGGAAGACGAAAGGGGCCTGGGGGGCCTGGGGTGGGGCTTTGAATACTCTGGAAATAACCTGGTGTCGGAAAGAAACATGGGCTTTGTAATCAACCAGACCGGGGTTTGAATCCTGGTTGGACCACCTCTTAGCTGTGTAAGATTGGGGCAAGTTGTTTAACCTTTCTGAGCCTCAGTTTCCCCATCTGTAAAAAGGATATGATAATACCTACGTCAGGGGTGGTCATAAAGAGTAGTAATTTGACATACATAAAGTACTGGCACTCAGCATATTGGTTTCCTTCATGTACTCACCTCACCCCCAGACAGAGCTTTTGGATTTAGAATTATGGAATTCCAGAGTTGAACATAGTCCACTGATGATAACCTGGCAACCACTAATCACAGTCGCTCATTTTCTCATATATGGAGCCCTGGTGGCAAAATGGTTAAGTGCTTGGCTGCTAACCAAAAAGTTCCCATTTTGAACCTACCAGCAGCTCGGCTTCTTGAGAGAAAGACTAGCAATCTGCTCCGGTAAAAATTACAGCCTAGGAAACCCTATGGGGCAGTTCTACTTTGTTATATATGGTCACGATGAGTCGAAATCAATTTGACAGCACACAACAACAACAATTTTATTATATAATATTTTAATTACATCAAATCATGTCATATCTGGGGAACTGAAACCTGGGGTGAGGAGATGACCTGTCCAAGGTAACACGGGGTTTGTGGCTGTGCTGGGCTGAACCTGGGTTTCTGAATGCCCAGCCTCACTGCGTCAGGCAGCACTGTGTGCTGCCATCATGCTGACAGCCCTGTTCTTGCTTCCCAGCAGCCACCCCTCCTAGGGTCATGGTCCCGCTGGCCGAGGCCCACTGTGAGCCGCAGGACGATGCTGTCTTTGAGTGCAGTCTTTCCAGCCCCTGCCCCAACGCCACTTGGCATTTCCAGCATCGGCCATTCCAGCCCAGTGACAAATATGACGTGTCCGTGTCCCCCGATGGGCTGACCCACCAGCTGGTGGTGAGGAAGGCCCGTTTCTCAGCAATGGGCATCTATTCGCTAGACATCGGGCTCCAAGCCTCCAGCGCCTGGTTGGTGGTTGAAGGTGAGTGGTTCACCCCTCTGCCTTTCCCTGTCTCCTTTGAGGCAAGATATCAGGGCGGGGAGGGTGTGCGGAAGGTCGGGGCAGGTGAGGCTTCCTTTGGTCAGGCTGTTTTTTGTTTTGTTTTGTTTTTAATGTGAATGTATGTATTCATTCAGTAAATATATGTGAGTGCCTATTATATGCCAGAGACTATTCTAGGCACATGGATATATTGTGAACGTAACTGACAAACTGTCTGCCCTTGTGGGGCTTATATTTTGGTGAGCAGGAGCTAAACAACAAACAAGCCAATTATCTCATATGCTAGAATAGTGGCTCTCAACTGGGAGCATTTTTGCCTCCCAGGGGACATTCGTCACCTTTTTTTTTTTAAAAAAATTATTTTTGTTGTTGCTGCTATTGAGAATACACATAGCAAAAACATACACAAATTCAAGTTTCCACATGTACGATTCAGTGACATTGGTTACATTCTTCGAGCTGAGCAGCCATTCTCTCCCTCTTTTTCTGAGTCGTTGGTCTTCTGCTTTTTAATGGTTCCGTCACTCTCAGAGAATGAGGAGAGCCCTGGAGACCTGTTCTCTGTCCACTGCCAAGGCAGAACCCTCCTGGCCAGCGCAGTCCTCCTCAGCTGCTCTGCTACATCAGGGCCCTTGCAATTACTCTGGGCACAGGTCCTAGATGGCCCTAAGGTCCTGGACAGGTCTTGGGACAATGGCCGGGGTTCAACGTGGATGAGCAATCCCTGGGCCAGACCAGAGAACACACTTAAACCCCCCTGGGGATTGGGATGTGTGTTCAAGGTGGTCCCAGGAAACTGCAAAGTGGACATTTGTAAGGCAAGCAGTAGGGCAAGTCAAGCTTTTAAAAACCATGCAGCTGCTATGGCCGTTTGATAAGCAAATGACTTTTGGCTTCTGTATTTTCTCCCAAATCTTCATGCACCAGGTAGCAGGGTGGAGTGGCCTGTGGCTACAGGACTGGGGAGGTAGTGATGGGGTTTATCCATGCATCAGCCAGTGCATCCTGACTTTCTTCTCATGTAGTCAACCTGTTTCTCTAATGGGGAAACTGAGAGTCAGGCAAGGTGGTTGGAGTCAGGTAGGTGCCTTGGCCCAGTATAACAGGGGTTTTGTCTCTTGTCTCTTGTCTCTCTGTGGGGGTGCTGACATCCCATGAAAACACCACCTGACCAAAGCTGGGAAGGATAAACGCCTTCTGACCACCAGTAATGACTGCCAGCTGCAGGCACCAGGAGCCCAGGCCTTAGAAGCAGAAGACTCTGGGAGGATCAGTGGTGAGGGAGGGAAACCCAGAGAGCAGGACCCCATGGGGGACTCCCTCAAAGGGGATGGGCTGGATTCCAGGCTCCAGCTCACAGCCAGCCCAGAGAGAGGTGGTCTTGGTGGGCATGACTACTCCCTGATGAGGAACAAGGGTACAGCTGACTCTGCCCAGTGCCCCAGACAGGTGAGAGAGGGCTTTCCTGAAGCAAAGGGAGGCAGAGTCACTCCTCCTGGGGAAAGTCAGCTCCACAGAGAGGGAGGCTGGGGCAGAAGCTTTCCAGGGAGGCCCCATCTACAGGATGAGGGCCCAGATTCAGGACTGGGCCTCATGGAAGGACAACAGAAAGATTATGGCAGAGACAGAGATGGGGATAGTTGGAGGACAGCAGGAAGCTGGGAGAATGGGTCCAGGCTTTCTCAGGCTGGAGGACTGGGAGGCAGCTGGGAAGGAAAGCGGCACAGAGAGGACAGGCAGGGCCAGGAACAACTCTGGGATGCTCAGATGGGATCTGGGGTAGGAAGGAGAGCCCTTCTGGGATCTCCGGTGGATCCTGTGAGGTCTTTGCTGAAAGGGGAGCTGATGGAGAAGATGTCGCAGGGAGGTGGCTTGGATGAGATGGAGGGAATGGATGGTCTGAGCAGGGGAAAGGGGAGAGGAGAGGCAAGGGCAGTGAGGGGCCACAATGCTGGCTTGGGGGAAGCTGGAGACAGCAATGGGGCAGGAGGTCCTAGGGCCCTGGGGTCTCCTGGAGGAAGAGGTTCTATCTCCAAGGCAGGCATGAGCCCTGGGTCCTGGGATTCTCAGGGGGCCAGAGATTCCGACCCTGGGAAAGCAGGGGTCCACTGGGAGTCAGGGGAGTCTCTGGGACAGACATTTGGAGGTGAGGATTTCCAGGAACCATCAATATCAGGTGGCAGAAAATTCCCCTTGGGGGGCAGGAGTGCTGAGGCCAAAGCTGAGGGTTCACTGCAGGAGGCAGATGATGGGGGCCCAGGGGAGTCTGTGGTTGAGGGAAGGAGCTATAAAACTGGATTTGAAGGCTCTGGAGGCCCTGGGGACTGGAAAGGGAACCTACAAGAGCTTAGGGGAAGGGGCTTGAGCTGCAAGGATGGTTAGGAGACAGCTGGACCCTTACATGGGACAGAGGATGGCTCCAGAAGCCTCCAGTGTTCCCAGGGCTGGGCAGCAGGTCAGAGGGGAGAAGATGGCACTGGTGACATAGCGTCTGATAGCACAGGTCAAACCGGGGTCCACCATGGGCCTGGAGTGCTGGGGTCTGGTGGAAGGAAAGGGGGTGTGGATGGTATGGGTAGGGCTCAAGATGCTGAGCTATTGGGGTCTGGTCAAGGGGTGGATGCCAGAAGCCACAGACTAATTGGATCTCCAGGCCTGGATGCTCAGGGGTCTGGGGGTACCCTAGGAGACACTAACGGATTAAGAGGTCCTGGAGCAATCAGGTCTGAGTCGGATTTGTGGAATGGGTCATGGGGCTCAAGAGGAAAGGGACCCAGAGATGAGATGGGCTGTACGGATGGCTTAGGAGGTCTGGAGGTAATGGAATCTAGTTATGGGGACAGCTTAGGGTATTCTAGGGGAATAGGTCCTAAAAATGGGGCTGGTTATAGCGATGGCTCAGGGGTGCCAGGAGAAATGGGGTCTGGTCAAGATGCTGGTTATAGAGTCAGCTCTGGGGTACCTGGGGGAATAGAGTCTGAGGAAGGGGGTGGCTATAGGCATAGCTCAGGGGTGCCTGGGGAAACATGGTCTGGAAGCAAAGACAGTTATGGTTTGGGGAGAAGGGGATCTGGGAGAGTTGACTATTTCAAGAATGGCCCAGGTGGCCGTGGTGGAGGACCCATGGGTGCAGTGGGACATTGGAAGGCATCCAGAGGCCAGGGGGAAATAGGCCCTGGAGGTGGTGGCTTAGGGAGTCCTGGCACAGTGGGGTCTGTGGGTAGAGGTGGCCTGGGGGTCTCTGAGACAGATGGGGAGGGACATGTGGGAGCAGAGCCAGGGGGCTCTGAAAGAGTAAGGTCTTTGGGTCAGACTGGAGATTTTGGGGTCTTCAGGACCTCAGGGACTCTGGGGTCCTTTGGAGAAGGAGGTTCTGAAGATGGCTCTGGGGATCCAGGAGCCATGAAGCCAGGGTCTCTGAGGGCAGGGGGCAAGGTGGATGATGGAGGTGGGAACAGGGGCCCTGGTGCCAGGGCATCTGGGCCTGCGACTGATTGGGATGATACCAGGTGCCCCGAGGCATTACCTTCTCATGATGGATCGGTTCTGAGAGCCAGTGGGCATATGAGTCTGACAATGCGCTGGGCTATAGGGATAGATCAGGATTTCCAGGGCCTCAAGGAGCTGGAGGCAGAACAGCTTATGGAGGGTCAAGGAGTCTTGGGCCTGGGGGACGAGGGCAAGGGGGTGAGGCAGGTTTTAGAGATGGTTCAGGGGGTCTCAGAGGAATGTGGCCAGAGGGTAAGGTAGGCTTCAGAGATGGTTCAGGGAGTCTCGGAGGAATGGGGCCAGGGGGTGAGGCAGGTTTTAGAGCTGGTTCAGGGGGTCTCAGAGGAATGGAGCCAGGGGGTGAGGCAGGTGTTAAAGATAGTTCAGGGGGTCTCAGAGGAATGGGGCCAGGGTGAGGCAGGCTTCAGAGATGGTTCAGGGGGTATCAGAGGAATGGGGCCAGGGGTGAGGCAGGTTATAGGAATGGTATTGGGGGTTCTAGGGAAATGGAGTCAGTAGATGAGATAGGTTGTAGGAATGATTTGGGGGTTCCTGAGGGAATGAGTTCAGGGAGAAAGGAAGCTTATAAAGATGGTTTAGGGGCTTCTGGGAAGATTTCATTAGGAGGTGAAGCAGATTATCAGGATGGTTTAGGGGATTCTGGGGTCATTTTATCATCGAGTGAGGAAGGTTATAGGGGAGGCCTGGGGGGTACTAAGGGAGTGGGGCCAGGGGGTGAGGGAGGTTATAGAGGAGGCTCAGGAGGATCTGGGGAAATGGGAGCAGGAGGTGAGAAGGGCTGTAGAGATGGTTCAGGGAGGTTTGGAGTAACAGGCTCCCAGGCTGGAGTGGGATATGAGGGTGGACCCAGAGGCCAAGATGCCAGGGGGCATGGGGCAGGCTCTTGGGTCACATCAGAGGCATCTCATGGTGCCAAGGATGGTCCAGAGGTGGGCAAAGGAATGGGGCTCGTGAATGGAACAGGTCCTGGGGTGGGCTCTGGGATAGTGGGACTGCGGGGGACTGCAGATGGGACAGCACATAGGGACAGCCCCAGGGGCCCAGGGCTGCTGGGGACTCAGGGGGGGTCAGAGGCTCTTTCAGATGGGCAGGGCTCCAGGGATGGTCTTGGGGTCTGTGTAACCTCAGGGACCCCTGAGACCATGGGGGCTGTTGGCTCCAAGGGAAAATCAGAAGTCAGTGAGTGGCAAGACGGCTCTGGAATCCCAGGGTCTCCTAGGGACCGAGAGGCTCCCAGTGGGGAGGGCAGGCCTGCAGACCGAGCATGGGACATGGGGCCTTCTGGGTTTTTTGATGGTAGTCAGTGGTCAGTGGAGGGTAAGAACTGGGCAGGAACGGCTGCTCTGGAACCTGGTCATGAAAAGGACTTCGGGAGAGCAGGCCCGGGGATAGCAGACAAGGGTGGAGCTGCTGGCCAAGGGGAGTGGGCACCTCAGGGAGGTGGGGACTCAGTGCAGGGAGGCAGAAGGATGGGAACAGACTGGGAGAGCTCAGCAGGGCCAGGCCAGGCTCTGGACAGCAGCTCTGTGCCAGGGGGCAGGGGCAAATCAGTGTCAGGGGGTGCCGATGGGTGAGGGTTGAACAGTTCTTGGGCTCCAGGCTGGGAAGACGAAGGGCATGGCCAAGGCAGCGTAGGTGCTGGAAACCAACTCCCACGCTCCAGGGCCTCCAGTTTTCTGCAGGAGCGAGATACCACATTTAGTGGGACCCATGGAAGGCCAGGGAGCTCCAGGGGCATGGAGGGTGCACCAGGCCAACAAGAGGCTGGTGGGTGTCAAAACTTATGGTCCCTGGATAGCAAAGGTTCAGGTCCTGAAGGGGCACCTCTAGTGGCCCAGAGGACTCAGGTGTCCTGGGCAAGGGAAATTCCACGGAGCAGGGGAGTAGCCTCACCCTAAAATCTGGGCAGTCAGGATCTTGGGGCCTCTGGAATGGTGCAGATGGGCCCTGTGACAGAAAAGCCTCTAGAGACAGACCAGGAGGCTTCCAGGGCCTGGATTCTCAACTAGGCAAAGGACAGAGAGGCAGAAGTTGTGCCCTTGGGGAGCAGGGGCCCCTGGAGGATGAGAATGACAAGGCTCAAGGTCCCAGGGCCCTGAAAGAGTATGCGGGAGGGGGAGCAGAAGAGTCTAGTGGGTCAGACAGGAGAGCTGGTTCCTTCAGGAGCAGGCCTCAAACACAGTCAGGGGCTGAGGTTGGAGGAGCTAAGAGCAGGGGAGCAGGGGAAGTCCCAGACATGGGGCAGCCACATGTAGGTGAGAGCAGAGGGCGCCACGGGGAAACTCAGAGTGAAGACCGGAGCCAGGAGCCCGCAGGTCATCTTGGCAGCAGGAGAGGTGGCACAGTGGGAAGGGTGGATGTCTATGGCAAGGAGAGAGATGCCCACCCAAGTCCCAGATCTGGATACAAGCCCAGCACTGGCAGTGTCTCCAAGGAGGCCCGAGGTAGGTGTTTCTCAGCTGGGCTGTCTCCATGGGGTAGAGCCACGCGGGATGCCCTGAACACTGGGGTGCCTGGATTGGTCCCAATTCTACCTCTAGCCCCAGGAGCTTGTCCCTGCCAGTGCCCCTCATTTTTGGGTACCTTTTTCAAATTCAGGAAGCAACCTCTTCCTACTTGTACAGGTAGAACCCAGGCTGCATATGGCTCAGAGGTTTCCCCAGTATCTGTCTTGAAGCCCCAATATCCAAAGCACCTAAGTCGTAGGCCTAACCTGCTGTTTCTGACCACAGACCTGCCATCTGTGTGACTCAGGGAGCCCTAAAGTCCCTACCCCTTCATCTACCGTGCACCCCAGATCTGTACCAGCCTAGGCACTGCTGAGAAAAATGAGAGGTTTGGCCTTGCGAGCACTGGCTGAGCCCAGCTGGCAGGGTGTGGTGGCTTTCCATGGCAGTGTAGGCCATGGCCTGGGAGGCTGGGTCTTGGGGACCTCCCTGTGTGACCAGCCCCCAGATGCCTTCTGTGTCTCTCCAGTCCCCAGGGGCCACTTCTCCCAGGGCCTGACTGACATGGAAGCCCAGCAAGGGGAGGCTGCCATGTTCTCTTGCGCCCTCACCAGTGACCTGGGACCTGGAGCCTGGTTTAAGGATGGAGTCAAGGTACTGCCCCTCACACCTTCTCTTTACCAACCAGTTGAGGGAGGGGGGCGGGGGGAGGTAGAGAGGAAGGAGAGGCTTTGCAAGAAAGATTCTTCATTCTTCATTTTTCTCATGCACGCACCCCGGGAGAAGTTAAATAGTCAACAAATCCGACGCATTTAAAAGAGAACTAGATTTTTAAATGGATGTGTATTCACCTCACTCCTCCCTCGACACACGCCTTACTCTCCTTCCGCCATCCAAAATGCCTTTCCTGTACCTCCACCGAGCCCTGGTGGTGCACTGATTAAGCACTTGGCTGCTGGCCAAAAGGTTGGCGGTTTGAACCCACCAGCAGCAACTCAGGAGAAAGATGCGGCAGTCTGCTTCCGTAAAGTTTACAGCCTTGGAAACCCTATGGGGCAGTTCTACTCTGTCCTATAAGGTCGCTATGAGTCAGAATCGACTCAGTGGCAGTGGGTTTTTTGGTTGGTACCTCCACCTACTGAATTCTGTCCCTCCTGCAAGGCCTCGTACAAATGCCATCTTCTCCTCCGAACCAGATGGGGTCACTCTTCTCTCTGGACATCCCCTCTGTTCTCGGCTCTAGCTGTCATCACAGGAGGAAGAGTATCACAGTGGTTCAGAGCAAGGGCCATGGTTTCAGCTAGGCCCAGCTCTGCCACTTACGAGTTATATGGTCTTGGGCAAGTTGCTGAACAGTCCAGTTTCCTCATCTATAAAATGGGGCTAATCATAGTACCTGTCTCCTGAGGTTGTTGTGAAAATTAAATGAGGTACTACACACAGAGAAAGTTCCCTGAGTGGCAAAAGGTTGGCAGTTCAAATCCACTCAGCAGTGCTTCGGAAGAAAGTCCTGGTGATCTATTTCTGTAAGATTACAGCCGTTGAAAACCCTATGGAGCAGTTCTACTCTGAAACACGTGGGGTCGCCATGAGTTGGAATCGACTTGATGGCAATAGGTTTGGGTTTTTTTTTATATACACAGAGAGCATTAGCATATGATCAGTGCTCAATTCATGCGGTTGTTATTATGATTCCAGCAATTGCATTGGAAAATCTGGGCCTGGGAACAGGGTGCGGGTGGGGATGACTCTCTCCTGCTGTGGCCCGTGTCTCCAGCTCACTGCCCAGGATGGAGTGTCTTTGAGCAAGACGGCCCTGTGCACAGACTCCTCATCACCTGTGCGCAGGGGACCCAGGCCGGGAGGTACACCTTCGTAGCCGGCAGCCAGCAGAGCGAGGCCAGCCTAACCGTCCATGGTAAGGCCCAGCCCACCTGTCACTGCCCAGCATCTCTTTGCACCAGGAGATAGGCTCCACTTTTAACCACCTGAAATTTGTTGCTAGTCTACAGCCAATATCTAATCTCATCCCCAGTCTGAGAAGAACATCCGTGAATCTAAAAAGCCAACTCTCACCTTCCGTAGTCCAGCATCTAATTGCCTTCCTTGTCAGGAAGTTTTGGGGGAAGTCTAACCGGGTCCCTCCTGCTGCAGATGAAGCCCACTCCCCCTTGTTAGTCCTCAGGAGGTGGGGTCAGGGTCTCCTTCTCTGGGTCTTTCTTTCCCCACATCCAAGGTGCCCTGTTTTGTCTCTAGACGCCCCCACCATCGCTCCAAACGTGACAGAGAAACAGAGCCGCTGGTGGTCAAGGCTGGGAAGCCGATGACAGTGAAGACTCCCTTTGAGAATCACTCCCGGTTCAGGCTACGTGGAGGAAGGACGGGGCTGAGGTGCTGGGCGGCAGCGGCAGGGAGGCCCAGGTGGACCTGGGGGATGGCTTCACTCGGCTGTGCCTCCCCAGTGCCAGCAGGAAGGACAGTGGCCAGTATAGCATGACGCTAAGGAGTAAGGGAGGCTCTCTGCAGGCCAACCTCACCCTGCGGGTCATAGGTGCCAACCCCAGCCTCCCCAGCCCAAGGGTCCCTGGGTTCCAGACTCTCCCTGCCACAGGGGCAGGCCCAGGCGAGGTCTCTGGCTCTGATCCTCATTTGGATGCTGCTTAAGATGCAAGCTCTCTACTCTACCCACCTCAGACTGGTTAGGATGAAGCAGTTTAGATAAGTAAAGGGCTGGGCCCTTCCTGATTGGAGGATTGGGCTGCAGCTCTCTGAGCGTGAATACACTGAGGCCTAGGGAAGGAGCGGGGGTGGGATGATTAAGTGGTGCCATCAAGGTAGGACTGCCCGATCCAGGGGCTGGGCAGGTGCCCAGACCAGCCACTGAGTGGAGGGGCTGGGCTTGGGGCTGGTTGCATGTCACAGCCCTGGTATATGTGGGTGTTGGGGTGGAGACCAGGGCCTCCAGGGCATTTTGCCCCATAGCAGCTCATCCACTGATTAGGCGGAGACCAGCAAGCTCCCCTTCCAGCTCCTCTGACCCCCTTCTCTTCCTGCTCCTCTCCTGGGTCCCCAGACAAGCCCCAGCCCCCACAGGGCCCCCTGGAGGTGCAGGATGGCCACGGGGCTGGTGTCTGCCTCCACTGGCAGCTTCCACGGGACGATGGGGGCTGGGCCATACAGCACTACGTGGTGGAGAGGAGGCAGGCCGGCAGGAGCACCTGGCTGACGGTGGGCGAGCCTCCCGCAGACAGCACCACCTTCACCAGTGTCCATGTGGAGCAGGGCAGGAAGTATGCCTTCCGAGTGCATGCCGTGACCTCGGAGGAGGCTGGGGAGGCCCTGCAGTCCGAGGAGGTGCTGGTGGCTCCTGAGGGTGGGAAGACAGGCTGGGGCTGGGGGTGGGCAACACTCGTGGGGCTGCCCACCGTGCCCAGAGCACCGGCAGGTGTGTTCCAGAGGCTGAGGGACACCAGCCAGTGGCTGGGGTCCTTGAGGCCCTTGTAGAGCAGTGTGGAGCCTCCTTACCTCAGCTTCATTTGGGATCTGGAAGCCAGATCAGGAAGCAAGATTTATGGGGTCTTCTCTCTGCTATCGGAGTCCCTGGGTGATGCAAACAGTTAACACGTTCTGCTGCTAACTGAAGGGTTGGTGGTTCAAATTCATTCAGAGCCTCCCTGGAAGAAAGACCTGGTGATCTACTTCCCCAAAATCAGCCATTAAAAACCCTTTGGAGCGTAGCTCCCTCCACTCTGATACATATGGGATCACCATGAGTTGGAATCCACTCGATGGCAATTGGTTTTCTCCCAACTGTGGCTCTTGGGGGTGGGGGGATGGGCAGGCAAAACCCACTCTCCCAGGACCCTGGGCAGGGACTAGCATCCTTCTCCATCAGACGCCCCCAGCCTGGGGACTCTGGAACCTGAGCGGGTGGCTGTAGACTCTTAGGCCACAGTGCCTTCTCTGTTCCCATCATTCCTGCCCCTTGACTGCCAGAACAGGGTCTAGAGCAGGCTGGCTCAGCCCTCTGACACCCCCTTCCTCAGATGCCCAAACCCTTCCCCCCGGGACCTCCCCACCCTCCCCTGCCTCTGGCTAACCAGCCCTTCTCTGCCCCCAGCTCTCCCTGGGCCCCCTTCCACCCCAGCCATCCCGTCAGCTTCCAGCCGGCCCATCACACTGGCATGGACAGCACCTAGGGCCCCGGCAGCGCCCACCTCCTGGGCTACCTGATTGAGAAGCGCAGGAAGGGGAGCAACGCCTGGACAGCAGTGAACCACCAGCCTGAGCCCGGTGAGCAGGCCAGAGCAGCCCCATTGTGCTCCGTCCTGCCTCCAAAGTTTACTGGAGCCCCTCTTGGCTTCGGGGTGCTTTGGCTTATCATGCCAGATTGGCTTAATGCAGTGGTCTTCACCGTGGGGGGGGGGTGCCCCCTAGGGGACGTTTGGCAATGTCTGGAGATAGTTTCGGTAGTCACAAAGGGGGGTGGGTGGGCGGAGGGGGGTGGGCATGCTATTGGCATCTAGTGTGAAGAGGCCAGGGGTGCTACTAAACCTCCTACCACACATAGGACAGTACCCCCGCCCCCAAAACAAGAATTATCTGGCCAAAAATGTCAATAGTTCAGAGGCTGAGCTGGAAGCCAGAGGCAGAGCTCTTAGTCCTGGCCTTGATCTTGGACAGTTCACTTCCCTCTCTAGATCCCAGGTTCCTCAGCTATAAAATGGAGAGAAGTGTCCCTACTCCATCAAGTAGTTTCCGAAGAAACTAACTGCTGTCTTTGGTATCGGAAAGAACTCGGAAAAGCCCACGTGCTGGGCCGCCAAGCCTTTGCTTTATGTCCTGGAGCTTTATGCTCTTCAGAGTATTTCCAGCTGCAGGGATGCTGTGAAGGCCCAGGTTGGCAGAGGAAAAAGTACTGAACAGGTTGTCAGGGATACCTGGCTTCTAGTCATGGCTGTGCTTCTTGGGAGATGAGGCCTCTCAGACCTTCAGACTCATCCCTGGAAAGATGGAGGTGAACTAAAGGCATAGCACGATGCTTCCAGGTTCTCCACTTAGTGCGTCTGTTTTATTTACGTATGACAACAATTCTGTGAAGCAGAGAGAATCAGAGAGGTTAAGGCTCTTGCTCAAGGCCACCCAGCAAGTTAGGGGCAGAACCAGACAGGGACTCGGGCCCCTGACAGCCTGAGCAGTGTTCTTGTCACCTTAGAGAGAACCAGTCACACCTGGCTGACTGGAGCGGGGAGGGATGTGGAGACACTGAGCTGTCTCCCCATCCTGGTCCCATCAAGGTGGGACTCATGTGGGGTGGGCTGTTCACAGAGAGGAAGCGGACGGTGGTGGGCCTGCTGCGGGGCTGTCAGTACGAGTTCCGGGTCACGGCCATGGCTCCCTCAGGCCCCGGAGAGCCTGGGCCCCCACTGGATGCTGTCTTTGCTCGGAACGCCATGAGTAAGTGGAACACCATCCCAGGAGGGGGCGGGGGGTGTGGTGAACATGGGATAGCTCTGAAGCTGGCTGGAACAGGGCAGGGGGCCACAGGTCAGGGGCAGTCCCTAAAGAAATGGTCAGGAGTACTGGGAGATAAGCCTCAAGAGGCCTCTGGGGCCAGACATATCTTAGGGGTCCAAGGAAGGGTTGTTGTGTTATTGGTTACTGTCAAGTGGATTCTGACTCATGGCTCCCCCATGTATTACAGAGTAGAACTTTCCATGGGGTTTTCCTGGCTGTAATCTTTGCAGAAGCACTTTGCCAGGCCTTTTCTTTCTTAGAGCTGCTGTGTGGGTTCGAACTGCCAGCCTTTTGGTTAGCAGTCAATAGCAAATTGCTTGCACCACCCAGACTCCACAGGGAAGCCTTCCAAACCCATTGCTATCGAGTCAATTCCGACTCATAGCAATCCTATAGGACAGAGTAGAGCTTCCCCATAGGGTTTCCAAGGTTGTAATCTTTCACAGAAGCAAACTGCCACATCTTTCTCCCATGGAGCAGCTGGTGGGTTCAAACCACTGATTTTTTGGTTAGCAGCAGCCGAGCACTTAACGACTGTGCCACCAGGGCTCCTCAGAAAGGGATGTAAGCCACTGAATTGAGGCCAAACAGGCCCAGAGGTAGGCAGTGGGGATTAGATGTCCTTCCCAAGATCACTTCACTTTCTCCTCGGCCCCTGGGCAGGTCAGTCCCCAAGCTGGCCCACCTGTCTCGGTCTTTGAATCATCCCCTCACTCCAGAGAAGTGTTATCATTCCTGAGGGCCTCAGGGAACCTCACTCATCAGTTCTCTACCCAGTAAACATTTGCTCATTACCTACTAGGTGCTCAGCATCATGTCAGGAACCAGGTGTATAAATCTGGTCTCTGCCCTCGAGACACTTAAGGCCCAGAACAGCATGTCCCTGTCTGTGGTCGCGGGAACATTCATGTACAGAGAGATGCCAATAGACATTGTGAGGACAGCAACAGTCAATAAGATCTGTGACCAAAGATGTTTCCCTGTAGCCTACGATATGTCCAAATACTGCCGGGAAGAAATCCGTCTAACTTTGTTCAATCTAAATTTCCCGAACTTGATTAGAGGATACCTTTTCCATAAAACACCTATTAACAGCTCCATTCTAGCCCTCGAAGACATACAGATCTCTATACCTCATCCCCTTAGGACCCTGCCAGTGACCAGTCTTCCGGGGAGAAGCATGTCCTGGCACCTGCTGGACTGACCAAGTGATAAAGACCTGGAGAGCATCTTTGTTCCCCTCAGGGCCTGGCGCAGTGTAGGTGTTCAGGGTGTTTGAACAAACCCAACAAGAATAGAACGTTCCACAACTTTGAGTGTTCAAGTGGCATCTAAGTTTTAGTCCTAGGAAGGACAGGGTGTACAGTGGAGGGACGGGGGAGGACAGATGGTCTGCGTATCTTAATCCTTGCAAGTGACCAAACCGCTCCTACTTTACTGTTAATCTCTCTTTCATCAGTGATGGGAATGGAGAGACTTGTAGGATAATCAGTGCCCAGTAGTAGCCAAAGGTGCATCAGAAGACAATCCTGGCAATCTGTTTCTGAAAAGTCACAGCCTTTAGAACCCCATGGAGAACAGTTCTACTCTGCACACACGGGGTTGCCATGAGTTGGAATCAACTCCACTATCAACTAACAACAAGTAGCTACACCAATAACTACACTTCCTAGACCCTTGCTACTAAGGGTCCAGAGCATCACCCAGGAGCTTGTTAGAAATGCAGAACCCCGGGCCCCATTCCAGCTCTACTGAATCAGAATCTGTGTTCTTCACAAAATCTCTAGGTGATCTGTATACAAATTAAAATTTGAGAAGCACTGCCTAGACCAGTGGTTCTTAAACTTAGCTGCATTTTTAGAAACACTTTGGGGAGCTCTTAAAAATCCTGACACCCAGGCTGTACCCCCAGAACAATTAAATCAGAATCTCCAGGGTGGGACCCAGACCCCAGCACTTTTTAAAGCTTCTCAGATGATTCCAATGCGCAGCCAGGTTTCAGAACCAGAGTGCTAAACTGTTGTGCCATTTACAAAGCCCTTAAGCACACACCATGCCTTTTGCTTGTTCTAGAATCCCTGTGGGGAGGTAGGGCTTGTGTTACTACTGGTCTCATTCAAAGGGTGAAGAATAAGAAGTCTGGACCAAGTGCCCAGAAGGGGTTTTGGCTACGAGCTTAGCGTTCAGAATAAAAAGATATAGAATTCTAGTCTTCAAGGATCTTGGAGTCTAAGAGGTCATCAACTAAAGTAGCAATTTTCAGGAATTAGGAAAGCATGGGTGGGGGAAATGGAGTCCCTGGGTGGCACACATGGTTAAGCGCGCAACTACTAGCCAAAATGTTGGCAGTTTGAACCCACCCAGAGTTGCTTTGGAAGAAAGACCTGGCTATCTGCTTCCAAAAGGTCACAGCCTTGAAAACCCGATGGAGCAGTTCTATTCTGCACGCGTGGAATCACCATAAGCTGGAGTCAACTTGACCGCAACTGACAACAACAGGTAAGGGAAGGGAGATGTCAGATCATGTCGGCAGGTTGCGAATGAGTGGAATGAGTTGGGGAAACCTTCCTGGAGGAGGTGACCTGGGATCTGTGGTGCATAATGGGGCCAAATACAGGAAAGAATAAGGAATCAGTTCCAGGGATGTGCTTCAGGCAAGTCTAGAGGCAGAATTCCTAAGTGATAGAAATCCCCAGGCTGCTACAAGGAAGGCTAATGAATAGCTGAAGGTGATGCTATTCCTAACACCCCCATGGTGCTTGGCCAGGACCCCCGGGGCCTGTGCGGGACCTCCAAGTGACAGACACATCAAACACCAGCATCATCCTGAGCTGGGCCTGGCCGGACGCCCAGGATGGGGACGAAGCCCTGGGGTATGTGGTGGAGCTGTGTGGCTCAGACAGTCTCCAGTGGAGTCCATGCCACATGGGCACTGTGGCATCCACCACCTACACAGCCAAGGGGCTTCGGGCCAGAGAGGGCTACTTCTTGCAGGTGACAGCCGTTAATGACGGGGGACGTGGCCAGCCCACTGCCCTGGACACGGTAGTGCAAGCCATGCCCATTTCCGGTGAGTGCCACCTTCTTCTGAAAGCCCTGAGCCCCACGGGTGCTTCCTGGGTGCATCCCTGCCTTGCTGAGCCAGGATCCCCCTCCCCTTCATTTAATAAATGAAGTAACATTTATTAAAAGGCCTTTTCAGAGATGTTTTCTCATTTACAGCTCATAACAATCCTATAAGGTTAATCCTTTTATCCCCAATTTACCACTGGTGTGTGGCAGAGGTAGGATTTAAGCCAGATGACTCTGACTCCAAAGCTGGCACCCTCCAGGCTTCTTTATCGCTTTCCAAGTGTGGCCTAAGAAGACACAAGTGTTGCCCAGCTCATGTGGTTCTTGCTCAAGGTGGCGCATGCCCCACGTTTCCTGTTATCAACAGGTGGATTATCTTTCCCCTTGGACCTTGATTCCTGGAAGGGGCTCACCTGTCTTTGACCCAAACTGACACTGACCTATCCCACTGACCCTAGTTGTCACTGTGACAATAAGGGGGACATAATATAGTAAAAAGCACTCTACACCCAGGATCCAGAGTCCCAGAATCTTGCCAGGCTTCTGCCCCTAACTCCACCAGTGTGATTTCAGGCAAGTCGTTTCTGGCCGCAGAGCAGTTTCCTTATCTGTAAAACCAAGGAGTTGGATTATTTTTTCACTGTTTTCCTCTGCTCTAGCCTAACCCTTACCCTCTTCCGGATGGCTTCCCTTTCTGAGCTTCTGCCCCTATTCTACTGGCATCCCCCCACCAGCCATTTTCCTGCCGCTTGCCCCCAGGATTCCCCTCCCCTGTTCCTTTGGAGCCTCCAGTCCCCATCAGGATCTGAGCATCAGTTAAACTGCCCAGCCTTCTCCGGCCAGCTCTGCCTTTTTGGTGACCTGGGACTGGGGCCAACTGCAGAGGGAGGTGATGACCATCCTGTGTGTTCCATTCTGTCCCAAGTTCCTTATGGACTCCAGCACAAAGGACTCGCTGACAGTCAGGGCTGGGGACACAGTTCATGTGCCTGTCTCCTATGAGGTGAGTGTACGTAGTAGGGCGTGAGGAGAGGGGCTCAGAGAGGCCAGGGGAGCCAGATTCAGCCTTGTGGTTCTCCTTCCATCTCTTTTCCTTTCCTGCCTCTGATCACCTGCCTGGACTTGTGCTAGAAATTAGACCAGACGTGAGGAAGGAGAAGGGCACTCCTTGAAGGCAAAGCCCTCGCCTGGCCACTGGGTGCCCTTCTGCTTATTGTCTAAAGATCCCTCTAGTGGTGTATGTTGGTACTGCACCTCCAATCAAGTCTGGAAACTATAGGGTGGTGTGAGTTGGAATCAGCTCCCAGCAGCAACGGGTTTTTTGTTTTTTTTCTTTCCCAACGGGTATGGGTAGTGTGTGTTGGCGCCCTGGTGGCTGCTAACCAAAAGGTTGGCAGTTTGAATCCACCGGCTGCTCCTTGGAAACCCTGCAGGATAGTTCTACTCTGTCTTCTAGGGTTGCTATCAACTCGACGGCAGTGGTAGCTAGCTATGTTGGAGCCCTGGTGGCGCAGTGATTAAAAGCTCATCTGCTGACCAAAAAGTTGGCAGTTCAAATGCACCAACTGCTCCTTGGAAACCCTATGGGACATTTCTACTCTGTCCTATAGGGTCACTATGAGCTGGAATCTACTCAACGGCAACGAGTTTTTGGGTTTTTGGCAGTGTGGGTGAAAGAGTCCCGGTGGCACAGTAGTTAAGTGCTGGGCTGCTAACCACATGGTCGGGGATTTGAGCCCAGGCAGCCGCTTTGTGGGAGAAAGATGTGCCAGTCTGCTTCCGTAAAGATTCCCAAACCCCAAAACCAAACCTGTTGCCATCGAGACAATTCCGACTCATAGCGACCCTATAGGACAGAGTAGAACTGCCCCAGAGGGTTTCCAAGGAGCAGCTGGTGGATTTGAAGTGCCAACCCTTTGGTTAGCAGCCAAATTCTTAACCACTGTGCCACTAGGGCTCAGAAACAGCTGGGGGCAGTTCTACTCTGCCCTATAGGGTCGCTATGAGCTGAGATCGACTCCACGGCAATGGGTTTGGTTTTTTGGCAGTGTGGGTAATCCCCTTTGACTCCAAAATGTATTTTTTGCAAGTATATAACCTGCATTTGCTTCATGATGATCCTCAACCAACACCACTTGACTGTGTGTACACAGTATAGCAGTTCAGTGTGGGGGTCACAAGCACAGGCTGCCTGGGTTCAAATTCCGGCGACATCACTCACTAGCTGCTTGACTTTGGACCAACACCTTGACCTCTCTGTGTCTCAGCTTCCTTATCTTCCTTGCCTGGCATGTGGCAAGCACCCAGTATGTGTTACCTTTTATTGTTATTAAAAAGATGACAATGATCATCACCTGTATGGGAAGCTCATAGGTGGCAGAACCAGATTCGAACCCAGATCTATCCAACTCTAATTACATGTTCTTAACCATTAGATCATAATAATGACAATGATAATACTATTTAGCACGCTGAGTGTTTACTATGTCCTAGGCCCTGTTCCTTGTGCTTTCCATGTATTAACTCCGTTAGTCCTCACAACCATCCCATGGGGTGTTATCATCCCTATTTGACTCAGATGCCCAGCGTGCCAAGTGCTAAGGGCCACATGGAGAGTTGGTAGCACAATCATCAAGCAGCTGGACTGGCCTCCCTGTCCTGCTCAGGGTCCCCACTATTCTAGGGCCACTATAATGTCCCTGCAGGACTACTGCAGTGCTTCCTAAGCCGTCCTCCATTTGGTCTCAGGCACCAGAGTGGTAACACTTCCCTCCCAGCCCCTCCTCACTCCCACCCAGCCCCCATATGAATCCAGGTCTGATTATGTTTTCCTATTCAAACTCTTACTTACAGAATGAAATCATTGCTTATAGAATAAACCCAGATGTCTGTAAGGCTGTGACCTAACCTCCCTTTCCAGCTTCCTCTCCCATCCCCTTCCCCCCATCCACTGCCAACCCCACACTTCATCACCACCTTTACCAGGCACATCCCCACCTCTGTGTTGTTGCTCAGACTGATTTCTCCTCCCAGCATGCTCTTCCCACCACCTCTCCCATAGGCCCAACTTAAATGCCATCGCTTCCATAAGACTTCCCCTCTCAACCTTTCCTTCCTCTCTTTTCCCAGGCTGCCCCCATGCCTGCAGTGACCTGGCTAAAGGATGGCTTGCCCTTGCCCAAAAGAAGTGTGACCACCACCAAGGACGGTCTCACCCAGCTTCTGATTCCTATGACCAGCCCCTCTGACAGTGGCCACTATACCGTGGTGCTGAGAACCTGCAGGGGAAGAAGGCCACTTACAACTTCCTTGTTAGGGTGGCAGGTGAGGCAGGCAGGGGCTAGGGCCCGGGACTCCGGCTTGGCCATTCACCAAGGCATGGAGGTTTCCATTGGGCCTGGTCATAGGTCTCAGCTGTTCTACCAGGCCTGGGTAGCCAGCTGACCATACTGCCAGCCCTTCCTATGTGCAGGAAGGCAGAAAGGGGGAAAGGCAGGACGACACTCTCTGAGGGGGCTTCATTTTCCTTCTGCCTCAAGACCTTAGGGGCAGTTAATGAAGTCACACCCCCTCACCCGACCTCAGCTAGTCTTCATTTTGATTGAGTGAGCAAAGGCTGTCACTACTTGCCTTAGTTACCTAGTGCTGCCGTAACGCAAACATCACAAGTGGGTGGCCCTTTAAAGAACAGAAATTTAATTTCTCCCAGTTCAGGAGGCTAGAAGTCCGAATTCAGGGTGTGGCTCCAAGGGGTGATCCTTCCTCGTCTATTTCAGCTTCGAGTAGCTGCCAGCAATCCTTGTAGATGCATCTGTCTCCATCGTCTGTCTTTCTTCCCCCTGTCTGTGTCCATTCCGCTCTTTTTATAACTCAGAAGTGATTAGGTTTAGAACCCACCCTATTCAGGGTGTGGTCTGATTAACATAACAAAGAAAACCCTATTTCCAAACAGAATCATATCCAGAGGTATAGGGGCCAGGATTTCAATACGTATTTTGGGGGGACACAAATCAATCCATAACACTACCTTACATCCCAGGAAGGGCCCCATGGGAAGAGTTGCCTGTGGTCCTTGTACAAGATAAAGGGTGCCTTCCGGTAACTGAGACCCCACACAGTCCTTGACCTTGAAGAATTTCTGGATACACAGAAACGATGGTAGAGACTGACAATGGGGCTCTGTAACTTGGTTATGTGAAAGTTCCTACAAAAAAAATTAAAAAAAAAAACACCAAAACACTCCATGTCCTATGTCATTTTGTTTAAAAACTAAAGTGAATTAAAATTATGATTTTTGGAGACGTTTTCCACCCCCTAGCAATAACTGTACCCCGTGGCCAAGCTGTCTCTGGCTCCAGCTACAAGCAGTGTCTACGACTGCATTCCCCGAGGACCCCAGAAGATTTGGGAAACCGGGGAGGGCCACAGCAGAAGCCCGTGATCATTTTCGAGTGCCCTGCTGGGTCCCTCCTAATGCGGCTGTCTCTGCCTCTTCTTTTGCAGTGTTCCCGCGGGCGCCGGGACCCATCCGCCTGCAGGAAAACGTGCCTGGGACGGTGACTGCCGAGTGGGAGCCGTCCGGATGAGGCCGAGGCCGGGGGCGCGCCGCTGCACTACACGGTGTTCACGCGCTCCTCCGCGCACGGCTCCTGGCGGGAGGTGGCCGACCGCGTCCACCCAACCACTTCACCCTCCTGGACGTCCTCCCTGGCCACCAGTACCACTTCCGGGCGGTGCCCAAGAACGAGCTGGGGGCCAGCAAACCCTCAGACACCAGCCAGCCCTGGTACATCCCCCGGCAGCGAGGTGAGCCCTCCTCTTGCCTCAGGTCCCCAGGGGACAGCGGAGCAGCCAGGAGCGAGGGCTCAGCGGGCTGCGTTCCCCGTTCTCCGCTCCTGCGCAGTGAAGCCCAGGGCGTGCCACGGGGTGCGGGTGGAAGCTGAGGGGGTAACAATGGCAGAGATGGTGCGGGGCACTTCTAAATGAACAGCTGGACCCAGTCTGTTGCTCTTCCCACCTCCTAATACTCACCTACAATGACGTCCTCTGTGTCCCTGACTCATGGTGAGTCCCGGTGGAGAGTGGGAGGGGCTGTGGGGTGTCAGTGTCTAGGATGCCTTTGGGGGAATTCTCAAGGGCAGTGGCAGACAATAAGTTAAATTGTTGTTGTTGGGTGCCATCAAGTCGGTTCTGACACACGGAGACCCCATGTGACAAAGTAGAACTTTCCCATAGGGTTTTCTAGGCTGTAATCTTTACAGGAGCAGATCGCCAGATTTTTCTTCCGCGGAGCCCCTGGGTGGGTTTGAACTGCCAACCTTTTGGTTAGCAATCAAGTGCTTAACCGTTGGGCCACCAGAGTTTAATATTTCTTTGAAAATAAAGTGTATTTTACAGTCAAATAGCTGTGGATCTTAAACAAATCACTGGAAAAAAACAGATTATAAAATGAGGTGGGAAATATTTTTTAATTAAATGCAAAAAAAATTCAAAAAAGCAAACAACAACTACACAAAATAATAAATAAAATGGAATGGGTGATTTCATTTTTATAAACTACAAAAACATTTGGAAATTTCCATACCTAGTTGTAATCGGTGGTGATCTATAGGTAGTGAGATCATGGTTGGTTCGTCTCTTTCACCTGTTGATTCTCCGTATATTCTCATTTGTTCAAATGAATGTGTATTAAGCTATGTGGAGAAAAAAAATAATCCAAAGCATTTTCTGAAAAGAATAAAAAAATGACTCAACTCTTGAACATCAGATTTGCAGGTAAGATGTGACAGGAAGTCTGTCACCTTCCCCGGGTAGCATCTAAAAAAATAAAACCAGACCCATTGCTGTGGAATCGATTCTGACTCATAGTGACCCTATAGGACAGAGTAGAACTGCCCCCATAAGGTTTCCAAGGAGCAGCTGGTGGATTCAAACTGCCGACCTTTTGGTTAGCAGCTGAACTCCTAACCACTCCACCACCTCATCTGGTCCCTTGGCTAGGCCTTCCACCCCATTTTCTGACCTTCCAGTTGTCCCCAACTTTCACCACAGAGAGGTTCACAGTCAAGGCTCCAAGCTACCGGGAGCCAGACCTTAGCCAGCAGCCCTGGTTCCTGGTTGCCCTGTGGGCTCATCTGCTGCCGCAGGACTCAGTGTGCTGCATGAGCTGCGCTGTGCGGGAGTCCCCCAGACCTCACGTTACCTGGTTCAAGGACGATCAGAGCTGGGAAGGAAACCCTGCCGTCTACAGCACCAATGTGCTGGGCGTGTGCTCCCTGGTCATCCTCAGGGACATCCCCTGAAGGACAGCGGCCAGTACAAGGCTGTGGCTGAGAACACGCTAGGCCAGGCTGTCAGCACCACCACCCTCATCGTCATAGGCAATGGTGGCTGTCCTGACGGGGCCAGGCTGGTGGGGATGGGGGACAGGGGTGGGGGGGAGGAAGAGCCAGAGCAGCAGCCACTGCCGGCCTTCAGGGAGCCCCTCTGAAGGGGACTTGTCCCCCCTTAGAGTGATTGGGCTGGGGGTCAGGAGACCAGGGTTCTGAGGCTGGCTCTACGTGAAGTGTCTGTTATGTAACCTGGCCATCGCTGGTGCTCGTCTGGCCTGCATATGCCCATCTGTAAAATGAGATAGTTGGACTCGATCAGTAATAACCAACTCTTGGTTTAAGAGGCCACAGTCTGCCACCTAAGCGTCCCAGTATGGCCTTGCAACAAATTTCAAGATGAGACATTAAGAGATAGCTTCTGTGTTGCTCCTTCATAAATACGCCTAACTAACATTTAGTGTCCAACAATCCGTGCTGATTGTCTTATTGGTAGCCTCCTTTTCTGTAAAGCAAATAATATATGTTAATAAGAATATGCCTTTTCCCATATAGTGCTTAAAACATCTTACATTTGAATAGCAAGACAAAAAAAAAAAGTAACTCCTAGACATTTTTAATTGTTCAGAATTGGCCTTTGTGCAGATATGGCCCTTGAGCACTGAGTGACCAGAATATCTGTCTGTAACATCTATGCCATGTCACTTAGGAAGCCACTTTCAAGGTGCCCCAGCTTCTGCACACACCTAGTCATGAAAAGAAGCTGGTGGCTGCGGGTGGTTATGTTTGCCAGAGGGGTCAGGGAGGGACTTTCCCCAAACTTACAGAGCATGTGGTGGCTCCTGTAGACTTGAACGCACACACCCTGGCGGCACAGCCTTCAGGCCTAACACCTACGCTGTTCTGCCACCACCACTTAGCAGGAGTGGGAGGGCCACAGCCCCTTCCCAACCAACTGGAATAGCCTGGTGCTTATATCTTGCAGAATCCAGTTATTAGCCTGTCCTCAACCTGGGATGGCCCTGCCAGGCCCCGCAACCACAGGATGGATGACAGACCCCAAAGCTTCATTCCTGACACCCATTCAGGTCTGGGGAGCACACCCCAAGGGTCTAGAGGCTGCTGGCAGTGCCCAGACCCCAGGGAGACGGGAATTAGGGGCTCCTGGGCAGACTTAGCTAGGAGGAAGAAAAAGAAGAGGAGAGTGGTGCATTCAGCCTCCCGACCTCAAGCTAAGTCACTAGATGGGGTGACACCGAGCCTGCCCCATGCTCACCGTTTGGGTTCCTTTCTTCTCCTCGTCAGGAGAGCCAGTGAGAGCCTGTCTGCAGGGTGGAGGGCAACTCCTTGTTTTCCTATACTGGGCCCCTAGCGGGAGGAAGAGAGGGACCCTCTGGGCCTGCTGTGACCACAGGGAGGGAAGAGCGAGGGAGGGCAGGACGTGGGTGAGAACTAAAGCATCAAGGGCACGTGTGTGTGCATGTGTCTGGGGATTCTTTCTGTACTTTTCTTCATTAAAACATTGGGTGAATACAGGCAAATCATTTGCAAATTAACTTGGAGTTGGTGTGTTGGAGGGAAGATTACCAATGCAAAGCTTTTGTACGAGGCTCCAATTGTGGAGATGGGTGGGGTCTGGCTCCGATGGAAGACTCCGCTCTTCTCTAGAATGCAGCCGATACCAAGGGCGGGAGTCTGAGAAAGACTAGAGGGGCTGCAGGGTGGAGAGGCCTCCCTTTCTCGTGGCCTGTGTTCCCGCACCCCTCTGTCTGGTGAAAATCCTGTGAGCTGCAGGGCTAGAGGCCCCCCTGGGGGCCACATGTGTGGGAAACATGAGGTGTGCTAACTACTCTCCTATGCCTACCACTCCCCAGGGCCAGAAAGGGCCTGAGTTCAGGAAAATCCTACTCCAGGCTCTGCTCTGTGGACTCCTGTCAGAGGGGGTAGGAGAGACACCGTCAAGTGTGTGAGGATTTTGACTTACACAAGGCCCTGAGGGCCCCCTTCACCTTCTTCACACCCTCACTGCCCCTACCACAGGTCAGATGTCTCCCTTTCCTGTGAAGAAGCTCTGTGTCATCATGCCCCCACCCTGCCGCAATCCGCAATCACTGCCATAAGCTCTCACCATACCTCATCCTGACGCCATGAGCCACCAGAGCAAGGCATGTCCCCTGACCCTCTCAGATTCCAGGAAATATCCCAGAGTTTGCAGGGCCAAAAGGAGGGGAGAGAGCCCTGGGAAAGACTGAGTCTCACCCTCTCCAAGGAAATCAGCTCAGAGGCCCAGCAGGTCACCAGTGACCTGGAACGCAGTCTGCTCTTTGCTCCGGACACTCAGACCTGGTCGGCTTTCCCTGTCTCCCTTGGCATTCAGATTGTAGGCCAGATGCAGGAGGGAAGGTGCATGCACCACAGGAGGAGGCCTCGAGTATGGTTGCCAGAAACAGTGGTTAGTCAGCCATTTCTGAATTGGAGAGATAGTTGTCTGCCTAAAATAGACCAAGAGTGTCCCTCCAGAGGCAGGGGGATGGACCGCATGACCTTTGTCAGCATAGGCTATGTTTCACTCCTGCCCCCAACAAGGAAATCTGTTAAGGGCCAGCTTCCTGGGATTTCTCTTGCCATCTCTGACATGTTTGTTTTTTTCTGAAGGTCTTTCAGTCCTACCACAGCAGGGCAAAACGGGGCCATGGGAAGAGAAGATGCGCTCAGAAACTGAGAGGCATGGCTGAAAACCTCAGCCTATGTGGGGCTGTTCTTACAAGTCCCTCCCAAGCTCAAGGTCTTGGAGATGGTGGAGGGCAGGGCCTCAGGCCTACCAGCAGTGATGTCAGAAATGGGGAGAAGAGGGCGTTTGCCCAGAGATTGAGACGCAGTGCTCATGGCATGCTGGGCCTTGACTGTATGACTGAGTTCTGGTTGATGGAATATGGGCAGAAGCAATGTGTCTGACTTCCAGGTCTGCCCCCTAAAAGCTCCAGTATAAACATCTATGCCCTCTGTCTGCCTACATCTACCAGCTGGATGCAAAGAATCCTTTGTAGGACTCTGCCCTAGAATATGGTGGAGCCAGTTGATGACCCTAAATAATTTCGTGTGGAACAAGGTCCTCCATGCCATTCCACACTGGACTGTGATATGAGAAATAAATCTTAATTATGTTAGGTAAGGTCCCTGTGTGGCACAGTTTGTGCTCAGCTGGTAACCAAAAGGTTATTATTCAAACCCAATCCTTGGCACCGAGGAAGAAAAGGTCTGGCAATCTGCTTCTGTAAAGATTACAATCAAGAAATCTTTGGATCTTTATGGAGTAGTTCTACTCTGTAATGCATGGGGTTGCCATGAGTCAGAATCTACTTGACAGCACAAGACAACAACAATGAGATTTGGAGGTTATTTGTTATAGCAGTTAGCCTACCCTGACTAATACAGCAACCAGCTTTTTAAAAATGGGGGAGAAAACCAGAACAAATCGAAAGAAATTAGAAGAAAACAATAAAGATAAGAAATTAATAAATTTAGAAAACACACAATAGGGAGGATAATCAAATTCAAAAATTATTTATTTGAAATGACTAATAATATTAACGAACCTCAGGGAAAAAAGAGATGGCAAAAATAAACATTATTAAGAATAAAAAAGAGGCCATAATTATCAATTCATCCAAGACAAAAGATATTATTTAAAAATACATGTTAATACATTTGAAAATTTTGATGAATGAGTAAATTCCTAGAAAAAATAATTTACTAAAACAGACTCAAGAAGAAATAGAAAACTTGAATAGTCTATATCATTAAGGAAAGTAAATTGGTAATTAAACATTTTCCCACAAAGCATAGCTCAGAACACTGACAGGTGAAAAGTCCTTCAAATGTTTGAGGAACATTTACAATCTTTACAAATTTCTCCAGAGAATAGAAGAAGAAAGAACACTCCCCACTTATTAAATGAGGTTAGCCTAACCATAATGCCAGAACCACAAGGATAAAAGAGCAAAATTATAGGCCAATCTAATTTATTAACATAGATGCAAAACCGTTAGCAAAACTGGGTTAGCAAACTGAATCCGAAAAGGAGGAAAAATGTTCATACATCATGACCATGATAGGTTTATACCAGAGCTGCAATATTGGGTTAATATTAGAAATATAATTAATGTAATTCATCACAATGATATTAAAGGATGAAAACCATACAATCCTCTCCATAGATATAGACCAAGCATTCTATAATACAAATATTGGCCCATAAATATATAAAAAGATGTGCAACGCCATTTGTGACCCTAAAACCAAAAACCAAACTCGTTGCTGTCAAGTCAATTCTGACTCATAGTGACCCTATAGGACGGAGTAGAACTGCCCCCATAGGGCTTCCAAGGAGCAGCAGCTGGTGGATTCAAACTGCTGACCTTTTGGTTAGCAGCCGAGCCCTTTACCACTGCGCCATCAGGGGGTCCTTTTGTAATCCTAGAGGAGCAAAATAAAACCACAGATGCTTAACATTTCACCTCTGTTCCAAGGGTTGGTGAGACTGTGAAGCAATGGAAGCTCTCAGTCTGTTAGGAGGAGTGCAGGTTGGTGAAACAGTCTGGTATTACCTGATAATCTCGAACACTAGGCTCATGCCCCCTGACTCAGTAATTCTACTCCTACATATATAGTCAAGACAAGAAAATTTTGCACAGGTGTCCCTTGTAAAAGAATGTTCATAGCAGCATTGTGCCTATTGTACTCGCCGCAAACTGGAAACAACCCAATATCCCATCGACAGTAGAATGGTTAGAAAAATACAATGAAATATAATAACTTTGAAGAATAATGAATATCTGCTTCACTCATCAACATGGACATATCTCAAAAACAATGTGAGTGAAAAAAGCAAGTTACTTGGCTATATTCAGTATGATAACATTTATATAAAGGCCAAAACTCAGCAAAAGTAAACACTACGTTGTTTAAGATGCATACATAGGTGGTACAACTACAAAGAAAATAAAGTGTCCGGATAATGGTTTCTCCTGGGAGGAAGGAAGATTGGGGAGGGGCTAAGGGGAGGTGTCTAAGGAACGTGACAGTGGTTATAGGGAGTTTATTATCATTCTTTAAACTTCAAAATTACATTTATACATACATGTATTGATACTATATTTAACAACGAAAACAAGTGAAAGTAATGAACCGTTGCACAAAACTTTTGTATTAAATTTCTCTTCTTTACTTTTCCTTTTTATTATTTTTTGCTTCCTCCTCTACCCTGCCTGACTCATCTTAATTGATTTTGATATGGAATACATCACATTGAAAGCGTGCTGTTGAATGCATTAATTTATGTTACAAACACTGCAGATTTATTTAAGTGTGTTGCATTTTTTCTGTTGATTTTAAGGCGGTGAGTGAGATGTTTCACACGTCTGTCTTTTAAACTAAATTATATTGCTTTTACTTGTACATAATTTTTTTAAGTTGTGCTTTAGGTGAGAGTTTACACCTCAAGTTAATTTCTTATATAAACATTTATACACACGTACCTAATTTTTGAAGGGCGATGACCCCTGCATAGGAAAAAAGTTCATATACCTACAGTAAGTTATAAAAGATAATATAGAATTGCTGGGTACCATCTACTACGGTGAGAGAAGAAAGGAAATAAAACAATGGCAACTTCATTCTCATCGGAAGCGTGAAGAACCCTCCCAGCCTAGGTGCCCTCGAGTCACGCCCTGCCCCGCGTACATTCAGCGCTCGCCCCTCCTTGCCTAGGCCTCGTCTGGGATTCTCCTGTTCGGGGCAAGCCCGGGCTCCTTTCTCTTTCCCCTTATTGGCCAAGGGTGCGCCGCAACAGCCAATCAGAAGCTGGTTGCCCTGATAACCTTTCTTGGCTGCTTTGCGCCTGGGGCGCACAGGCCTCTCACGCACCGTGCAATACGCGGTGGGTTCTGTGTAGCGCTGCCCTTGGCTGCTTGACGGGCGGTTGCGTGGCGCAGGCACGGCATTGAGGCACTGCGGGGTGAGCTGGCAGGCAGCTTACAGGAGCTCTGCACACTCCTTGCAGTGGTCGCACGCCAGAGTCCCGGCTACTCCTGGCTGCCCTACTGTTTGCGGCAGAGCAGCATCAGGCTGCAGGCCCGGCTGCTCACGGTGCAGCTAGAGGCGCTGCGGACCGTCAGGCCCATGGTGCAGAAGATACAGGAAGATCTGGTCCAGCTCAGAGAGTGGGTAGGCAGAGGGCGGAGCCTAAGGCTTCTGTGGCAGGTGGTGCTCGGCAACAGGCAAGGGAGTGTGTGCGTGCTGGAGGCCGGTGGTAACAATCCAAATCGGGACTTGCTTTACCTTCACCCCCATCCATGGAAGGGGGTACCCCCCTCGCCCCCCTCTGCTGATTCTGAAAGGGTCAGACCACTGTTTAGGAACCACCTTCCTTAAACAGTCCATTGCTATGATTTTACCAAGTAGGAAACTGAGGCCCAGAGAGGGGAAGGGCCTTGCCCAAGTTCATAGCTAGTCTGGGGGCAGAGCTCAGCCTAGTTCTGTCCTGGTCCTGGCAAATCCCCTGTGGATGCCAAGAGCAAGCACAGCAGTGACCTCACTGATACCTCTCCTCAATCCAGACTCTAACCTACCACCCGAAAAAGACACTGGCTGGGTTGGAGACCCTGCAGCCCCAGTGAAAGTCAGGTGTGGTTCCGGCTGGGAAAGACAGAGCTTCTTGGTACAGACTAGCTTATACCTCTGCCCCATGCAATCAGTGTCTCTTCCCATTCCTCCCCCAGACCCTGAAGAGGCAAAGGAACAGACACTGTCATCTGGGCAATTCCCCTTTTGCTCTGCCCAAGGAGTCACCTGGAGGTGGGAGATTTCACAGGTGGGAGATGGGCAGAGGGGCCCAGAGACAGGAAGCAACCTAGTTCTCGGAGAATGAGGTTCTGAGTTTTTGCCCTTGTCCTACCACCAATTTGCTGCACGGCTGTAAGATTAGGCAATCCCTCCCTTCCAGGCTGCTCCGTATTGCTGGGCTGATGAAATGATTCGGTGGATGTGGAACGAATGAGAATCCTGGTTCCATCTCACCCACAGCTGATTAAACATCTTCTGGGGATTTCAAAGGATTGACCTCTTTTCATTAAGCCCAGTTACTCCACCCAGCATCACTCTCTGGAGGAGTCTCAGGCCCTTCTTTCCTCTCTGAGCTCAGCTACTGGCTCCCTTTGCTCAAGCCGCACTGCTGTCCTTGCTGTTCCCGCCTGTAACAGTCTTCCTCCAGAGGCTGCGTGGGTCACTCTCTCACCTCCTTCACGTCAGTGCTCAGTCACTTTCTCAGTGAGGCCATTTCTGGCCACCTTATTTTAAATGGTAACACTCCTCCCCTACCCCAGCAGTTTCTTTCCATTTCCCTCAGTTTATCCTTCTTCACTGGAGTCCCTGGTGGCACAAACAAATGCTCGACTACTAGCTGAAAGGTTGGTGGTTCGAACCCACCCAGAGGCACCTCAGAAGAAAGGCCTGGTGATCTGCTTCTGAAAGGTCACAGCCTTGAAAACCCTATGGAGCAGTTCTAGTCTGCACACATGGGGTCGCCATGAGTTGGAATTGACTTGAGGACAACTAACAATATCTTTCTCCAAAGCACTTATCGCTGTCTGACATATTTATTTTACTGGCTTGCCTTGTGTTTGTTTCTTCCCACAGGAATATAAGCTCCATGAGAACAAAACTCTGTCTCATTTTTATTTGTTGCCTTATGCTCAGGCCTAAAATAATGCCTGGCACCCAACAGATAATCAAATATTTGATAGATAATGAGTAGGGGAGTAATTCAGTTATGGGCTTTGGCATCAGACTGATGTCTCAACTCAATAAACTCACCAGCTGTGTGATGTTGGGCAAGTTACTTAACCTCTCTAACCCTCGACTTCCTTATTAGTAAAGTGGACACAAAAACCGTACTGCCTTCAAAGAGCTGTGAGAATTGAAAGTCCATAAAATGCCTCCCATAGGGGCTGGCACAGAGAAGGTGCCCTGTGGGCTGCTATAACTATGAATGGCTAGGAGAGCACGCTGGTGCAGGACATTGCTCAGATAAGGCGGCTCCCTGCTTTGTCGTGTTGCAGAGCCCTGATGTGGGGTCCTGGAACAGGAGCTGGTTGAGATTTGGAGTGTGCAGGCCCAGCTGGGGCAGGAGCTCTGAGAAGCCACAGGGGAGGCTGAGCAGGTGTTGGCCAACCCCCCACCCCCATCCCATGTCCACCCCCAGAGAGACTGGCCTAGGCTCTCTGGGCCAGGATGGAATGCCAGGCCAGATGGCACACTGCAAGAGAAGCTGGCCCACCTGAAGCAGGGGCCCCTGAAGCTGCTCAGCTAAGGGCTGGACTGGGCCCAGGCATCAGGCTCCTGTCTGGAGTGCCTTGTGGAGTCCCTGGCTGCCAGCCTCCAGAAGACCTCAGGGACACTCCAGCCCCTAGGGAAAGGAGTGTGAGAGGCTCAGGAGGCTAGCTGGAGGCTGGAGTGGAGGCTGGAGTAGAGGCTGGGGTCGTGGCTCAGCACACCTCAAAAAAGAAGAGGGCCCTGAGGCAAGTGGGCTGGCTCTTCCAGGCTTTGCAGCTACAGCTGGACAGGAGCCAGCAGGAGGTGGGGGAGGTGAAAAAGGTCGTGGTAGAGCTGACACATGGCAGCCCTAGGGCTGAGCAGCTTAAGAACATCTGGTGAGGACAGGGGGAGTCAGACAAACTGTACTGAGGGCCTGGCTGCCACTGCCTACTGTGGGACTGTGGCACCTCGCTTCCCCACCCTGGGTCTTGGTCTTTCCTTACAGGGGATGATATCCCTGATCTTTCTGCTTCACAAGGTTATGAGGATGGACACGCTTTGAGCAGCACTAATACCTGGTGGTGTTATCACTGGATCCCCTGGGGTCCCCTTTAGTGCCCTGCTGATGCCAACTAATGGCAATAGGCCCTGGGGAGCCAAAGGACTGATGGAACAGAGAAGACCTCATGTTTGACTCCCCTCTTCCCTCATGGATGTTTTCTTAGCCTCAAAGCCTCAGGGTTTCCCAAGCATTAGTCTCATTAATCCATTGATTCCCTCATGCAGTAATTCCCAAGTGCCTGCTGTGTGCCCGGCACTGCCCGGGCACTAAGAGAAAAAAACATGGTCCATGCCTTTGAGTAGCCCAGGAGAGCACTGACCAATGACTGTGAAGTTGCATTCCAGTTACGTCAGTGCTAGCTTAGAGAGAAACAAGGGGTGCCTTGGGAGTGCGTGGGTGGGGCACCTATCCCAGCTTAGAGGAACCAAGGAAGGCTCTCTGGGGGAGGTGGGACCTGAGCAGAGACCCAAAGGACAAATTAAAGTTAGCTGATCATAAAGGCAAGGAAGGTGTTCCAGATAGAGGAGCCAGTGAGAAGTAGAGATAGTTGAGAGAGAAGGAGGTAAAGGTGATAGGTCTCCATGACTGGATGTGAGCTGAGGTGGGCAGGGAGGAGTTAAGACTGACCCCCAGGTCTCAGGCACCTGGGCAAGTGGTGGTGTCACTCCCAGAGAGAAGGGAGGGGTAGAGATGAGGTCATTTTAGGCATGTCCTGTTGAGTATCTGCACCATCCAAGTGGTGAGCCTGCCAGGGAGGTGGGTGAGGGGATAAGGGCCAGAGGTGCCCATGTGGGAGTCACCATCATCCCTTAGTTGGCAGAATGTGAGAGAGGATGAGGTGGCCCTGGGGTAGGGTCTAGGCTGAGAAGACAGTGGGCCAAAGGTGGACCCCTAGGGCTCAGAGCCAGCAAGCAAGGCTGAGAATGAGCAACTAGGGAGGTGGGAGGGGGTCCAGGAGAGCGTGGTGAGGAGGGAGAGTCTGCAGAGCTGGGTGCTGTGAGAGGTCACGTGAGGTCAAGACAGAGACAGTTGATTGGATGTGGCTGGCTTGGGAGGGCTTGCTCTGTGCTGGCAGCCACTCTCCATGGGCCTGGGGAGCAGGAGGAACAAAGAGGTACAGATGTAGTTTGGAGGAAAGGCAGGGGGTGCTGGCCTGTCCTCATGGCAACCCCGCAGGGTGAGGGGCTGGGGAGGTCACAGTCTGAAACAGACAGGAGAGGGAGCAAACCAGGGACCACAGATGAGTCCAGTGAGGGTATGGGCGCCAACCTTCCTGAGGCTGTCAGGCTTTCCACGGAGGTGGGCACAGAGCAGGAGGACGGCTGTCTGAATTCAGGGTGGGGTCTGGCTGGGAGAGACTGAGTGAAGAGTGCAGGGGTCATGTCATTAAGGATTTTGGCAAGAGTGTAGGCCACTGTGGTGGGGCGTGACCAAGAGAGGGACCCAAGCTGTTGGGAGTTGCTGGGATGGCTTCATGGAGGAGGTGACATTTCAACTGTGCTAAACAGACAAGGAAGGTGTTTATGGACAGCAAAGGAAAAGCGAGAACAAAGGAGTGGAGAGGGGACAGCGCAGCATCCTTGGAGCACTGGTGATGAGTCCGGGTTGCTGCAGTGTTGGGCTCACAGGGCAGCAGGAGGGTGGCCTTCAACCCACCCTAAGGAGCTAAGGATTGGGCATTTTTCCTTTGGTCACCGGAGGCCATCTAGAGGTTTTTACCAGGAAGTGGCCTGGTTGCTCTTCCAGCCTGGCCACTCACCTTGTGACCCTGGGCAAGTCGCTACCCCTCCTGAATCTGTGTCCAAATCAGTGAAACAATTTCAGGACATCTGTTGTGGATTGAATTGTGTTCTCCAAAAATACGTGTTGTAAATCCTAACCTCTATGCCTGTGGTCACTATGAGTCTGAATCAACATAACGGCAATGGGTTTTTTTTTTTTCTCTTATGCCTGTGGTTATAATCTCATTTGGGAATAGGTTGTGTTTGTTATGTTAGTGAGGCAATATTAGTATAAGGTGTGTCTAGTCAGTTTCTTTTGAGATATAAAAGAGATTAAACAAGGAAGCAAGCAGAGTAAAGATGGGGAAGGTTGATGTGAAGACACATGGAGTCTCCATGGAACCAGGAAACAAGCTGAAGAGACAAGGACCTTCCTCCAGAGCCAACAGACAGATAAAGCCTTCCGCTAGAGCTGGCACCCTGAATTTTGACTCCTAGCCTCCTAAATTGTGAGAAAATAAATTTCTGTTTGTTAAAGCCATCCACTTATGGTATTTCTGTTATGGCAGCACTAGATAACTAAGACAGCCTGTGACTGATGTATCTAACCAACCACCACAGCAGAAGACCCATCAGCTTAGACTGAAAAGGATGGGGAAAGAACAAAAGGAAAGGACCCTGCCTGCCTCTTGGAATTCTACAGGCAGGAAAAAAGCCAAAGGAGCTGCATCTCCCATAAAAGGAAAGAACCATCCCTGGAGCAGCTTGGAGATCAGCAGAACTATTGGAAGGAACTTGGGAAGCAGGACCTTCTGGGTTTCAAAGGGTGGGGCCACAGTCTCCTGGATTTCAGAGGGTGGGGCCACAGCCTCCTAAGTTTCAAAGAGTTGGATCTTTGACAAAGAGAGTAGGTTCTGGAGCGTGAGACTGCTGTTAAGGTGTGCCTGGGGATGAGCCGCTGCCCAGACCTGAAGGTGTGGGACTACCATATCCAAGGGCCGAAGAATGGGGCCTCCTCGGGTTGAGGGAGTCTCCACTCAGATGGACTAAGAAAATGGGGCCACCCAAAACCAAGGGAGCAGAGTTGCCATCCCGGTGGGCCTGTAAGGTGTAGTTCAAGCCCAGGGCTGAGGGTCCTCCACCCAGAATCCTGAGATCGTGGCCAGCACCCAGATTCTGGAGGATGAGGCCATTGCCCCCAGTGTCTCAGAGAACAGAGGATTATTTTCAAGCCTTGAAAGCTAATGTAATTTGTTCTGCTGGGTTTTGGACTTGCTTGGTGCCTATTATCCCTTCTTTCCCTCCAATTTCTCCCATATGTAATGGAAATGTCTACCTTGTGCCTGTTCTACCACTGTACTTTGGAAGCAGATAACCCGTAGTTTAGATTTCACATGTTCACAGATGAACAGGGATTTTGCCCCAGGATGGAATACACCTAACGTCTCACCCATATTTGATTTAGATGATTCAGAGGATGAGATTTTGGACTTGAGTTGATTTAAGACTTTGGGGACAATGTGATGGGATGAGTGTGTTTTGCACGTGGGAAGGACATGAATTTTGGGGGGGCCAAAGGGTGGAATGTTATGGATTAAACTGAGTCCCCCAAAATATGTGTTGTAAAGCCTAATGTTTAGTGCCTGTGATTATAATCCCATTTGGGAATGGGTTGTCTTTGTTATGTTAATGAGGCAGGATTAGTGTAGGGCATTCTTGAGTTAATCTCTTTTGAGATATAAAAGAGATTAAACAAGCAAGCAAGCAAGCAGAACACAGAAGGGGGACAATTGATGCCAAGCCACAGGGAGATCTCCATGGAACTAGGAAGCAAGCTGAAGAGACAAGGACCTCCAGAGCCTACACAGAGAGGGAGTCTTCCCCTAGAGCCAGCACCCTGAATTCAGACTTCTAGCCTCCTAAACTCTGAAAAAATAAGTTTCTGTTTGTTAAAGCCATCCACTTGTGGTATTTCTGTTATAGCAGCACTAGATAACTAAGACAACGCCCCTCCTGCTGGACCCGAGGGAGTACTGAATGAGCTAATGTAAGGGAAAGAGCCAGGACCCTCGAGTCCTGTCCACGGTGACAATGGAGATGGGCATTGTACCAAGGACCTCCACCTCACTCCTGCCCCACCATAAGGCTGAACTGCAGGCCCCTTTAAGAGATGCTTCTGGGGAACAGAGAAGAGCTCTTTCTGGGCCCCCTCAAATCCCACCAGGTAGACCTCCCCCCTCATAGGGAAGCTTAATGGGCAGTGTTTGGTGCATTTTAGGGGTGAGTACGGGGTCTTAGTGGTGCAGTGGTTAAGCATTTGGTTGCTAATCAAAAGATCAGCAGTTCAAATCCACCAGGTGCTCCTTGGAAACCCTATGGGGCAGTCTACTCTGTCCTATAGGGTCACTATGAGTCAGAGTTGACTCGATGGCAACGGGTTGTTTTTTTTTTTTTTTTAAATTTTGGTGTGGCACCTCAGGCAGACTGGACGAGAGAACTCAAGGGGTCCCAGAAAAGACAGAATGGGGCCCAGACTCCCACCCTGGAGTCCCCACTCTCCATACAGACATCCAGCCCAGTAGGGGAGAGCTTTGGAGGAGGAGTGAGCCCAGCTCATGCGCATCCCCTCCGGCCCCTCTGCCTCTGCTACAGATGCTGCAGGCTAAGAAGCTGGCCAAGAAGCAGCGGACGCGGCTCGCCCTGCAGAGTCTCCGGGAGCAGAGTGCAGACCTGCGCAGCAGGGTCACCACCCTGGAGGCCTGTCTCACTGCCCTTTGTGGCCTCCTGACCTGGGTAGGGAGTGCGGCATGGATATGGAGACAGGGCTGGGAGGGTGGCCAGAGCCAGGCAGAAAGTGAATTCTGAAGGGGCTGCAGGAAGGGTACAGGGGGCAGGCTGCCGACTTCTCACCACCACTGCATCCCTCCGAACTTCATCTCCTCATCTACCCGAGCGAGGGTGGTTAACGCCTGTGTTCTGCAGTTGCTGGGATTAAATGACAAATGTGTGTGGAAGTGCTTTGCACAAAGCAGGTATTCAATCAATTTTAGAATATTAATGTTAGACTATTAATAATAGCAATGGTTAATAAAAGACTTCACAGGCAGGTTGCTTGGGATCCAGATCCCCCTGGGAGCAAGAAATTGGTCTGGGAAGACAGAGCCCAGAGGGAGGGGGCTGTGCTCCTGTCTGCTGCCTGGGGGAGTCCTCCTAGTCAGTCCTTCAACACTCCCCCTCCCCCAGCAGGCCTGGGTCTCAAAGGTGGGGCCATGCTGGGAGGTAGGTCAGGCACTCTCGTCTCTGTGGAAACCCCCCCGTGGCACCCAGGACCACAGAGAGTTGGAGAACCCTGGGCCAGGAGACCTGACCTCTGATCCAAGTTCCGAGAGACCTTGGGCAAGCCCCTCCCCAAGCTGTGCCTCAGTTTACTTCCCTGTGCACAAGTAGGTTGGTTTAGAAGACCCTTAAGGTTCCTTGTGCGTTTGATGCTCTCTGCCATGGTGGGGGTGGGCCTCCCTACCTCCAGCGTTTAACATGTGTGCATCTCCCCAGGGGTGGGGGTAGCAAGAAGCCCTCCCTCCCAGAGGAGGGGAGTATGGCACAGGCTGGGCTGTGGCACTGTGACAGGCACATCCCCCAGGACACTTGTGAGTGAATTCCTGGTAGCCAGCAGATCAGCCTGATGTCAGGATTTGAGAAGCCCCTAGCAGCAACCCCTCCCTGACTTCTGTGTGTTGGGAGGTGTCTTAGGCTGGGTTCTCTAAAGAAGCAAAACCAGTAAAGCGTATAAATATGTATATAGAGAGAGACAGAGATTATATAAAGGAAATGGTTCACGTGACTGTAGAGGCTGGAAGATCTGAAGTCCATGGGTCAGGCTTCTCCTGATGCACGTAGCCACCGGGGCTGATGAACTCAAGATCGGCAGGTCGGAGAGCAGGGCTCTTGTTCACAGGCTGTGAAGATTGACGAATCCCAAAGATTGGCAGGTAAGACCACAGGTAAGCTGCTAGCTGAAGTCCCACAAACCGGAGATCAGATGAACAGGAGCCAGCTGCAGAATCCAGAACAAGCAAAAGCCCCCAAGCCTTGCCAGAATATCCACTTATATTCAATGCAAGCCACACACCCAAAGAAACTCCCTTTCAGCTGATTGGCTACTCACAGCAGATCCTATCATGAAGGTGATCACATAATATCAAATCTCATCATGGAAGTGATCACACCATTATATGACTATCAAATCATTGAGGATCATGGCCCAGCCAGGTTGACACACAACCTTAACCATTGCAGGGGGTGGTGGAGTGGCATAACTCCAATCCTTAGGTGGACAGGAGGTGCAGGCGACAGGAAAGTGGGTAAAAACAAATACAGGCCAAGTGCTGCATTACTGAGTAAACACGAGTAGGTGATAATTGTCACATGAGGCCGTGAACAGAAGTTCTTGAGTTTTTTGATAACCTATTGGATGCCATGTGCAGCTGAGGATACAGTGGTGACAGCAAGCTCCCTGTCTTCGTGACGTTCTTAGAAGAACAGCCTCACAGCCAAACCATCCCCTGTGTGAGGGTCTGGGTGCTGGGTGGCCCACGCTGGTCTGGGCTGAGGCCTAAAGATCGGGGAGTTTTGCAGGCAAAGAGGTGAGGGAAGGGGATTCTTGGGGGAGAACCAGCATCTGCAGAGACTCAGAGGCCAGGGAAAGGCCCTTCTAATCACCAGAGCGCAGCCCTCGGTAGCTGGAGCCCAGAGCTCAGGGGGAGTGAGGACTTTGAAGCCCACATTAGATGGAGAGGCCAAGGGTTTTAAGGGAATTGCCATACTTGCTTCCTGGAAGGAAGACAGTTGGACCAAGAAGGGGAGTGTCACCGATTACTTGACTATGGTCACTGAGGACACGTTTCAAACATCACCTGTCAGACACCCAGGGCCTCATTTAGCACCTTTCCGTGGGCACCTCCGTGACCTGTGGGAGAGAAGAGGCGCACTGCAGCCAGCCCAGCCTTGCCCCAGGGCCAGCAGCCTACACTGCTCCAGCCCAGGGCGCAGAGGACTCATGGAAATTGTCTGGTCTAACTTTCTCAGAGGACAGATAAAGCCCAAAGAGGGGAAGAGCCTTGCCCAAAGTCCCACAGCGAGTTACACTGGGCTTAAAACCAAACTCCCTGTTTAGTGTTCTTTCTACTCTCCTCCCTCCTGAGTTGGCCTGTGGTCTCCTCGGGTCCCCTACAGGCTTCCCACAGCAGGGAAGCACTGGGTGTCCCGACTGCTTCAACGCCACCACTGTCATTTACTAGCCTGTGGCCTTAGGCAAAGCAATTTAATATCTTGGAGCCCAGTTCCTTGTCTGTAAAACAGAGATAATCATAGAACTTCCCCCACAGCATTGTTGTGAGGATTAAGTATTACTCCATATCAAGGCACTGCTGTTATTTCTAAATCCCCTCACACGGCCAGGTGGAGGCCAGCACGGCGCAGCTCTCCTCCACCAGCGAGGAACGAGGGTGGGCACTGGGGCTGTGGCTGGAGCAGGTGGAAGGCACCCAGAGCAGGGGAGTCCAGCAGTGTAAGGGCTAGGAGCCCCCAGGAAAGCACAGCAGCGGGGAGGCGATGGGTAGAGCTGGGAGAGGGAACAGGCACAACTTGGCCCCCTCCTCTAAGTCCTGGCCAACCAGGCTAACATCCCAGAGGTGACCGCCAGGTGGCGCCACAGGCTTTGCAGCGGGGGCCTGGAGACCTTTGATGCCCAAGGTGACAGGTTGGGAAAGTAGAAAGGGCTGTTTCTGGAATCTGGTGAGGGGATGGAAGACGGGGCCAGGGCAGTGGGCACTAGTAGGTTCTCCCGCCCTCTCTTCCCCTTCCCTAGGTCTTTCTGGAGAGAACTGAGTGCTGGACCCAGGAGCCCTCTGCCTGGCCTGGGGCTCCCAGGCCCCTCCCCACACCACCCTCTGTGGTTCTTGGCCTGGCCAAACTCTCAATCTGGGGTCTTCTGAAGGTCAGGCTAGACCCTGGGTGTCACTGAGGCGGGCTTCAGAGTGGAGGCTGGCAGGGTGGCAGGGCAGGGCCCTCAAGGTCAGAGTGTCCTGGATGGCATGTGCATGAGGGAGGGGCTGGGTGGGGGAGTGAAGGGCCAGTGGGCCCAGCCTGGTGCCATCTTCCCTCGTCTGCTGCTCCCTGGCCTGCTCTGCCTTCTTCCCTCCCTAAGCAGCACCTGCTCTCTCGTCCCTTCCCTTCTGGATCCTAGACAGGATTCAGGCTTCTTCCTCCCCTACCAGCTGGACACTTGGGAGGAGAGGGGTGGAGCCGAGGCCAGGCCCCTGACTTGGCCTGAGCCCTCCTGGGCCCACATATCAGAGCTTCCTCTCTTCTTCCCTGGGTCCCAGGCTGGGGGTCTCCTTGAGGGTCAAGGAGGGGTGTGGGGGGCACAGTCACAGCGGAGCTTCCTTGGGTCCTGGGCTCTAAGACCCAGGGGGACTGGACTGACTATAGTGTCCCCTCAAGGGGCAGGTGCCACGGTACCACGGAAGAGTGGACAAGGCTGGAGGCAGAGGAAACTGAGGCTAGGCCTCACCAGGGGCCACAGGCCCAGAGCCAGAATTGGGCTCCCTGACACGGCACCCTCCCTGGAAGACCAAGCAGGGCCCATGTCCACCTCAGTCGGGGGTAGGGGTGGGAGGGAGCTGAAGGGGCTGGCCAGGAGGGAGGAGGAACACCTCAGGGGTGCTGTCTCAGCTGTTGACAGCTCTGCCTGCTCCCTGGGACATGGTATCCCGGGTGAGGCACCTGGGATGTGGGCCACAGGCTGGGTACAGGTGTAGGGAGGGTGGGGTCCCTCAGGGAGCAGGGGACAGGAGCTTTTCCTCAGCATTTGGCCTGGTTAGAAGCTGCCTGCAGACAGCTGCTGGGGAGGTTCCTCCCAGCTCAGTGATCTTCCATCCCCCTGGGCTGCAACCTACTCCCTCTGGCCTCTCCTTGGAGGGGAGGAGCCTTTCCCTCCCCAGCACGGCTCCCAGACCCCTGCAGCCCCACTTGACAGTTCTCCATCAAGCTCTTCTGCTTGTGCACCCGCTCGCCTCCTCTTCCCCAGCCCCTGCTGACAGCTCACACAGTCAGAGGCCTGTTGCCAGCCCCAAGGTCTCATGGACATCCTCACTGCTCAGGGCCAGGATGTGGAGAAGCAGCCCGCTCCTCACACGCCCCACCGCACATGGGGCTGTGGCCTGGCTCAGAAGGCCAACTCTGGGATCAAGGCCAAAGGCCAGTTCTCAAGATCACAGAGCCGCAGACTGGGGGTACCGAGTGCCCACACCACCCTGCTGTCCTGCCCCATCCCTAATGTCAGCCTCAGCCAGTAAAGCCGCTTGTCGTTGTCATTGTAGTCCAACAAGCTGGAGTGTGTGTCTGACCTGGGGAGTGTGTGGGCTCCATCCACTGCGTTGAGGGGGCACAGAGGAGGCAGGGACACAGCAGGTGGGTCGGCATGGTCTGAACAGGACTGAGGTAGCCCCTGGAGGCCCAGCTAAGGCCTCCCTCTGCTGCTTGGCTTGCTGCTCCGAGTTGCTGGGGGAGAGGCAAGGCCCCCAATTTTGCTGAGCTTACCATTTTCCAATTCCTTTCTGAGACTTTTTTTTTTCTTTTAAACCATCAGGAAGTTGGTCCATCTGGGCGTTCCTGGCAGGCTCACAGGCACTGCCAAACTCCCGAGCCAGAGCTGGGAGACGGCGCCACCTCAGCCGTCAGCCAGCGGAGCTGCCTTGGCACTCTGCTCCTTCTCTGGCAATTGTCACCTGGAAGTAGACAGTGCTTGCCTCCCTCCTGGTGCTGGGGCAGGCTGGGCTGGTTACTGCTACAAGGCCTGTGGAGCAGTGGGCAGATGGCAGGGCCCAGTCATGCCACATCACTGCAGTTACAAGAGGTTAGGGAGGGCAGAGGGTGGGGGAGCTCTCACCTGTTACAGGTAGGAGAGCTATGGCTTTGTTGTTTCCTGGGGGCTGCTGTTAGCGGATCCACTGGTCCCCCCAGGCCTGGCCTCTCCCTGGGAGCTGTCACCCAGGGTCCCTCCTACTCCAGAGCCAGGAAAGGCTGCTGCTTCCCCACCAAGACGCCAGACCCAGGGTCCAGGCTCTGGGCCTCTGGGAAAGTGCACTTGGTGCCTATAATACTCCCTGCCGGACTTCCCGGCCCCAGGCCTGGCGGGGCTGCAGGTGGGGGCCGGCACAGCCCCAAGTGCAAGCCTGTTTGTTACCCTGGAAGCAGTATGTGCCCGCCCTCCGCCTGCGTCAGGGAGCTGTCGGTGCTTGCACCCGGCTTCCCAAGTGATGAGACATGCTCCCAGCTGCCTCCCCAAGCCAGGTGGCCGTGCACACATTGTCATCTGTAAAGGCTGCAGCTCCCCGCGAGGGCCTTCCTGAATCCTCTTAACTGTACCTCAGCTACCCCAGCCAGCAGTGGGCCTGGGCCCTTGGCCCTCTAGAGAAGGGAGACCAGGACAGCGGAGGGAGACAGTGAGTTAGCCTGCTCACGGCCAGGGGCAGGTCTTGGGGCCCCGTCCTGGAGGAAGGCCTGTGAAGAGAGAAACCAGTCTGGTAAAATGTGCACACACAGGTGTGGCCGCCATCGGATTCTGGGCAGAGACTGAAGCTCCTCGTGGCCAGGGCTTCCTCCCCAGCCCACGGGCCGCTCCCCTCCGGAGATGCCGCCCTCTCTTCCCAGCCTGCCCCAGTTCAGTTTCCCACCCTCTATGCCTGACTCCCTCGGATGGTTTTTTACGTCATGGATGTATGTGGTACATACGGTAAAACGCACAGCCCTTCTGCGTGCATTTTGATGAGCTTTGACAAATGTAGGCAAATCCAGACATAACACATTCCCGGCATCCCTCGGAACCCTTCCCTGGAATAGTCACCGTGGGCAGGGCCTGTGGCAGAAGCCCGTTTGCTCATGCCAGTTTGTGCATGGGAAGTCCTGCGTGTTTACCTTGATCAACTTGCCTCCTTGTTCACGGGCCCCAACGCCGCCTCCCTGGTGGAGCGGGTCTCTGGGTGCCCAGGCTGTGGCTGAATCCATTCCCCATAATCTGTGCTCCAGCCTCTGGGCCTCCCACAGCTCACTGCTTACGCTCCCCTCTGACTGGGGGGCCTCCCTGGGCCCACAGGATCCAGGAAGGCAGGGCTCCTCCAGGCCTGGGAGCTGAAGGCAATCTCCCTTCACGGGAATAGACAGCTGAGCTTGAGTCTGAACACTGGGGTGAGGCCACCCCCTTCTGGTCTTGGGAGAGACTGTGGGCTCTGACTTCATCATCCCCCTGTATGGTAGCAGCCGCCTGTTCCAGGGCTGGAGTGAGCCCAGTCGTAGCGTAAGAGCTTTGCCTTCTTCAGCTCTAGGATCCGCTCCTCACTGACTCTGTCGCCTTGGGCAAGGTTTCCTTGAGGTTCCATTTCCCTAATCTATAAAATGAGCAAGTTATAACGTAGTGACTTTTCAAATTTTGGAGGGTCAAAATTTCTTTTCAAATGATATTTGGAACCCTAGTGCACAAAACAGATAAAAGTGGAACCTTTCAGATAGAACTGGGTATGAAGAGCCCAGAACCCCACCCACCAGGAACCACCCCTCCCAGTAGCTCCAGGTGGCCCAGTGAGCTCCTTGGTGCCATGGTACACACTTTGAAGTCCCCGGATGAGAGACCCTACTCCAGAGAGAGGGGAATTGACCCCAGACTCTGCTGGACACCCCAAGACTCTCCTTACTGTAAGGGGGCAGACAATGGCAGGGAGGCTGCCCCTTGTGGGACGATCTTTTAGTAGGAAGGGAGAGGGGGTGACCAACTATGGGTTGGGCACTTATGGGCCATAGTCTTTACATCCATGACCTCATTTAATTCTCATGACCATCCCACAAAGTAGGTGTTATTATCCATTTTACAGATGGGCAAGTATGTGAGAGCAGAGAGTGGCCTGCCTGGGGTGACACAGCCGGTTGGCGTAGAAACCCCTGCTCCCTCCAGGAACGTCAGGCCACAGTGAGGAGAGTCCTGGTCTCCATGGGCATCTCTGTTTCACTGGGGGATTTACATCAGTCACCCCGACAGTCACCCAGCACACATGCCAGGAATGAAGTGGAGAGTCTGTGTCATGAGCAGGGGGTAACTCCTGCCTGGAGACTGTTGTCAACAGGGAATGTGACTATTCTGCTTTCCCCACCTCAGGGACAGCAGATGTGGGAGTTCACCTTCTGTCAGGAATTTTGTGACCAAGCAGACCAGCTTCCCCAGGCTGGGCCTGAGGGTGACCGGTGGAGACGGGATGGAGAGTGGGCCCCTGGAGACAGACATAGCCTTAGGTGGATGGGGGATACCAGGAGTGACAGGTGGGAGGCAGAGGACTAGATTCCTGTTCCAGCTGCTCAAGGGGCAAGAAAAGCCAGAGGGCAAGGAGCTCTTCTTATGCCCCCTGGGGGTCCAGATCTCAGAGTCTCTGGCTCTTTCCAGAGTAGTCTGAAGCCTCCTGGGTGCCAAGAAAGTCTGCTGCCCTCTAGAATGGAAGCTCTGCGAGGTCAGGAACTAGTCTGGCCCACTTACCAGCCCTCCCCAGGGCCTGTCACTGGGCTGCCACAGTAAATATTTCTTAATAAAGTTGTGGAGCAGAGATTTGGGGCTAGATCGCCTGTCCCCAAGTCCCTCCCAGGGCCGGAGATCCAGAGGGGACTTTTCTCTTCCCTTCCCTCCCCTTCCCCAAGATATGGGACCTGCTAAGAGCAGAATTGGCAGGAATGGGCCCCAGGACTGTGCTTGATGCCTCACAGTCTAGCCCAGAGCTGCCCCTGGAAGTGGGGAAAGTAGGGCCAGAGGAGCTGAGGTGAGAAGGAATGTGAGGGATTGGCTGGTT